CTTTTGTGAGGGAGAACAGAGCAGGTTTATGGTGAGCCCAGTGTTGGCTTACAGAGAGATATGCATGATAACGAAATCTTCAAAATCAGCAAAGCTAGTATTGATCATCTATAAGTATTAATAATTACCAGTAAAAGAAACGAATGAGCATTTAACACAGTTATGCCACATTGACCCTATTTTTAATAGTAGATAAGTGAATACAAAGAACAAATAACACAGAACGTCTGGAATAATGCAGAAACATGTAAACAAGGTACTGGAAAATCTTTTTTATTTTACAAAAGGTTTTCAGAGCTTCTGTATTAAAATAAAAACAACATTAAATATTAAAACAATTAAAAAAAGTTTTTAAATATGTCTTTTTGTCATTTTTTCCTTGGGTATAAGATTATCTGTATCAGATCCCATTTAGGCAACAATCCATAAAAAGACAAGTATAGTTGTTACAGTATCAAGTTTTATTTATATAGCACAAAATCATAAGCAGTGTTAATACCCAGCATTTTACTCTTTATATATGCATAAGTATCTGTGTGAGTGTGTGTATACTGAAAGGAAAATATATCATCTGACCCATTTAAAAGTAAACCTAAAATTATTTTTTAGTAAGTTGGCCAACGTTTATGTGGGTACCACACCATCATGTCTTTAATGTGTGTTAAATTGTGAATGCTGTGTAAAAAAATGCCGACAGCCTCATCCTTGTAAACCCGCTGGAAGGATCTAGAAAGGAGAGCAAATGTAGTGCAAGGTTCAGCATTCCCGTCGAGCCTGTTATGAACTCCATTAGTCCACCGTCAGACACGCAGTGAGGGCTGATGCATATATTCTGTGGAAATATAATGCAAAAGTTTAAATCATGTTTATTAATAATGTATATTTTAAAATTCACCATATGATTTTTAATATAACACAATACAGAAAACCCAGCCACATTTGCAGACCCCTGGATAGTGAACTGCAAACCATCTCACATATACAGTAGACTGTACCCATTATAAGTTGAGCATGTGAGAACAAACCTCAATTTTTTGACTGTTGTTTGTTTTTCTTCTACAAGATGAATATTCCTCATATGTGAATAAAAAGTGCCTTTCCTCATTGACAGGACAGATTATTTTTACTCTCCCTCAAGTGGTTTCAAACCTCATTGACTTTCTTCTGTTGATCACAAACCAAGATATTTTGAAGAAAGCTTAAAATCTGTAACCATTGACTTCTATAGTGGGAAAAACAGATATGGAAGTCAATGGTTACACGTTTCCAATATTTTTAAAAAAAGGAAGTCAAAGATAGTGTGAGTTTACCTGCCTGCATTATATAGAAATATTGAAGTAATTCTTTGCCCCTCTAGTTTTTGTTATCAAATAATACCATGTAACGTACACATAATTCACTATAGGGGTCATAATATTTTACCCGATGAACGAGGTGAATGTCTTAGGTAAAATTGGTTTTATATTCACACATTCTGACTTTCTCCCTAATAATATAATTTCAGAAGAGTATTATTTGCTAATCCCTAATATCATGTTAGCAGCCAATGACTATCAAAGTACAACATTGTTCACTGTCAGTTTAATAGTGCTAATGTAGTTTTTAAGTCATATTTACGTGTGATTTCAGTCATTATAATAAAAGTACTATGGTAAACAATACTGAGAGTGTGTCACACAAGCTGTCACTAATCGAATGTGCGAATATAAAATCCACTTTACCTTAGTTGAGGTTACTCTGTGAGCCAAAGTGAAGCACAGTTGAGCGAGAGGCCAGTAGAGAGAAAGCCTTCAGCTCCGGGTCATCATCTGTCTCCCAAAGTCTAATAAACACACCACAAAGCAAACAAAGTCACAACGCTGTAACTATACAAGACATTTATTATATTAGCAAACTGATGCTGCTAGCCGTCTTATCATATGTGTACATTTTTACACGCTTTAAAAAAGTATATTTAATATGCTTAACATTACAAGCTAGCAGCCGTGCAATGGGCTACTCCAAAGTAAACACATCACATTGCTTCAAATTACTCAAAGAATAATGCTTACGGACTTGAAAGTTGACAAACATAAATGAAAAACGAGTTGTCTTACCGTGTACAGCCTTCGAGCTGCATCTCCGATTGATCCAGGAGTGTTTCTCGCCGTTCGCGTCAGCTATCACTCTTATCGGATTCATCCCATGTCACGAACCAAAACAGCAACAGAAAACTTGTGGACTTGATCTGTTGACAGGCTGGAGTTTGTGCAGTTTCCATAAACGCAATAATATACCACGTTGATGATAAATTACGCCAAAACTAACAACCAGTTCTGCTATTAGCTCCTCTGCCCCACTGTAAACAGCGTGCGTGGTGGTTAGAAAAAAAAGCGGAAGTGGGAAAACAGACACATTTTCTTTAAAATTTGTACCCTTGCACTTCGTAAAACATTTTAATATGGTATTTTATGGTATAATAGAGTATTTTCACAAACGATTCTACCTTTTTTTTAAACTGTTTTTTAACCTACAATATGCTCTTTAAGTGACTTACTGATCAGAGCACATTTCACATTAAATGTTGAGGGTTTTAATATGGTGTATCTTGCAGCACTATATTCATGTTTGGTATCAATTTAAATGTCTCAGTGTGATTGGTAAAGTGGTCTTAATTGCACACTAATATTTCACTGCTATATGTTGATTTAGTTTTTGGTTTTGATAATATCTCTGCCAGATGCTCCCCCACCTTAGAGATGGTTTTCTCAAATTCACCAGGTAAGGGTCTCTGTGACGCTTCTATTGTCTTGAATTTAAGGCTGTGTGTTTTGACTTGAGTATATAAGGTAAAGATGTGATATGGGTCAGGGGGGGTTTATAGCTAAGACACCCCAATTGCAGCAACTCTGAGACTTATGGTGCAATGTACTTCTCTGGTCGGGTATGCATCTATAATTCTTTGATTTATCTTTGATTAATGGATGTTGTATTTTTACAGTAACATCTCTGAGTTGGCTTTCTGATTGTTTTATTATGTAATTGGCAGAATACAATTTTACCTGACAAATAAAAGTTTTGATTCTTTCTGAATTCTCCTGAAATCTTTAATTGCACGTTTATGATTCAACATGGTTAGATTTTGATTTTAAGGCACATTTGACTGTACAGAGCCATTTTGGGCATGTCAGCATGGAGATCTTTTAATCATCTAATCGCTGATCTTAGCAAGTTGCATTGGGCTTGGTTATTTTTGCTTTTGTTTCAGGGATGTGTGAGCAGTTTGCAACCGGCCTATTTGAATATTAGTTACCCAGCAACCTCTGACTAATTTCAGAGTGTCGACATACTGTTCGTGAGAAGATGTGCCAACCCTGGGCGTGGAACTCTGAGCGGTGTTTGGTCCCTAATGATTGTATAACTGAAGAGTAAAGGAACAGATATAAATTAAAACTCTAAATTAAGTCATAAATGATGAATGTGATCCGTTCTTACAATTAGAAATACAGTCTATATTTGATGGTCACTTAAAATTGGAGTCAGATTAAATTCAGAGCTAAAAAATCTAATATAAATAAATTCTATAAAACAACTTAATTCTTTTCAGAAGCACTAGAAAAAGTCTTACATGCATTTAACCTTCGACCAGGCTGTTAGTTTTGTCATTGGGCAAATAGAAGGACTTCTACACTCATATCTCACCTAGTTCTTCACTCATTCTGAGTCTTAGATTATACATAATTTAATTTTTTTAATCCCGTAGATTTCCTTAAAACTGTTCTTAATCGTTCTACTAATGCCAGTCTTCTCTGGAGCTATTGAATTATAAAATTATGTTTTGCTGCAGTAAACAGTATTTGTAGGAGTTAATATTTATTTTTGGGTAAACAACTCATATATTTCAAATTTATATCTACATGCATCCAATGTTTATGATATATATATATATATATATATATATATATATATATATATATATATATATATATATATATATATATTATACTTTGTCTATTTCTTTCTTTCTTAATTGCCAACAAGGAAGCAGGAAGAAGTTAACAGAAGAATTCAGTCACATTGCTGTGGTAAAAACCTGTTTCTTTCTGTCTCGTCTGACAACATTTGCTGCAGGTAAAAGTTCCAGATACAGAAACAAAAAAAAAAAACATGACAGCAAACAGAAGGTAATATAAATATATATATATAAAAATTTATATGTATGTATGTATGTATATATATATATATATATATATATATATATATATATGTGTGTGTGTGTTTGTGTGTCTTAAAATAAGATAACAAATTCCAAATATTTTTTAATAAACATTACACATTTAATTCTAAATCAAAATCTTATGTTTTAGGACTCTGTATTTTTTACATGATGTAAAAAAGAAAACTGACCTGTTAAAAAACAGTAATAACTTTTTTTTCTTTAAATGTAAAAATCTTGAACTTTTACCTGCAGCAAATGTTGTCAGACGAGACAGAAAGAAACAGGTTTTTACCACAGCAATGTGACTTAATTCTTTGTTAGCTTATTCCTGCTTCCTTGTTGGCAACAAAGAAAAAGAAAAGCACACAGTAAAGAAAACATCATGCTTAATGATCAGTTTTAATAAATAAAATACTGTCAGCTCTCACCAGGTTCACATCAGCAGGAGTTTCTCTGATTCAGCATGTAAAATCGACATCAGTGATAGACAGTAAATTACACATGTGCTGAACTGTGACTCCTGATCAACTATAATCCAACATATAACCTCAACATTCATCTCGATGCTTCATTTGAGACAAAATTAAATGTTTATTTTAAACCGTATTACAAATGCCTTTTTAACATTATTACTGTATATTTGAGTTTCAAAATGGTAGAGCTTTTCCACATCACCTTATAGTCAAAACACAGTCTCCCATAATGCAAGTATAATAAAAAAAATGCTACGCTGCCAATATTAGTGTACAGTGAAGTGTGTCGTCACTGGCTTTGCATATTATTAGATCAACAAGTCTGAGACTTCATTTTTAAAACACTTTTATTTTATTTATCTAATCATTACAGAAGATGAACAGTCTTAAGGGGGTCGCACACCGGATGTACCACCGCCATGACGCAGTGCCATGCATTTTTTGTGAGCATAGATTTCTATAAGGTAACACATACCGATGCTCAGCTATGACTCACTACGCCACACTACAGAGCGTCATCCACATAGTTTTGTGTTAAATAACATTTGAATGTGCCCGTCCGGAGTGCGTTACTTCTGACTGTCATATGTGCGGTGATACAGCCAATGTGTAACCCCCCTTTACATTTATATGTTCACACTACTGTCATATACCTTTGATAGTGATTAAGCTTATGGATTTTTACTGGCTCATCATAAACAGCAGGTAGTTTTGAATTGTAATATCACTGTTCAGGTGATCTCAGGTGATTTTATTAGTCATGCAGTTTTTTTTTTCTTACATTAAAGTTAACAGCAATTATAAGAACAATATTCATTAGCATTGACTTCAATGTAGACAGCTTGACTGAGAATAGAAAATTACCCTATATTTAAAATATACACACATACACATTTGTGAATATAAAAGTATAAAAGAGAAGAAAACTAAACAATGTCAGAGTATATAAATGAAGAAAGCATCTTATAAAAAAAGAAAATTTAAGTAAAATAGACTAATTAATCTGCTGTCACCAATACTTTATATTTTAGATGACATCTTAGTTTCTCCAACACCACTCTATTAGATGACTCAAGTTACAATAAAGGAGATCACACTATCATCTATTCAGTTTTAATGAAGAAGAGTTGTAATCTTTGCTTTTCAGAAATTCTGACAAAATAATGAAAACGTTAACCCAAAAACTGTAGATTGTAGGACAGTCCCAGACATCCCAAGTCTCCCAGAATTCCCGGGAGTTGTTGGCACAATACAGTGGAGGGACTATGATGTAATTTTGATGCAAAAACCCGGAAGCGAGTTAGCATTTTAGCAGTTCCGGTTCCCTCGTCCCAAAGTCAATGGGTTTTTTTTAAATGGGTATTTAGTAAAATTGCTTAAATAAGGTCTGTGGCTAACACAAACTCAAGATACTTTCACGCTTTATTGTACAACATAAAACACATCAGTTACAGCACACTCTTGAGTTTTTATATCGCTTATACTTCTTTAAAAAGACACTTGCTATCAAGTTGCTAAATGGGACTACAGGCAGTGTCGGAGACATTATACATTATTATGATCTGTTGTGGAGCGCAGCTCGCTTGTGTTGGGCTTTGGATTTGTCGGTGATTTAGGTATTTTCATGAAGAGTATCAATTGATTTTTCATCTGTTTTTTTTCCTCATCTGAACACATTTAACACCGTCATAACTGCTGTGTACACTCCTTCATGAAATATGTAGCATGTGTGACTGTATGAGCTGCTTTTCACTGTACTTTGTGACATAAAAAGAGTATTGAATGTGATCCATGATGGAATTTTCAGGTATTTGATAGACTTGTTCCTCCTCACGCCTCATTTCTGTCATCTGTTAAGGTAAGCAGGCTGTGTGCACGTGAGTGATATACTTATTTAAATATGTCTGATGATAATACTATGTGGGCACATTTACAATCACAGTTTTAAAACTTTTACAAAAACCGTAAAGCAAAACAAAATGTATTTCCCATGTAAAAACTATCCAAAAGGCACATAGGTCTATGCGTTTTTTGTGTATTTATTTGTTTATAATATATAGCGTGGATTATAATATGATAAACCGAGAGAGTAAATCTTTGTCATGGACCATATTTCTAAAAAAAAGCTTGATAAGTTGTCTGCAGCAAAGTGGTGCTGACTTCACAGACGAGCGCCCCGAGGGCTCTGTAGTCCGTTTATAGCCTGATGTTAGCTTTTTAATTCTTGTGTTTGCATTTACGATCCAAAAGTGCTTAAAGTTGTATTTTGGTGTAAGGGTTATCTGGCTGTACAAATCGTGTAAGTGTAATGAACAGTGTTTGAACACAGAGCTTATTATTCACAATCTTCGAAAAGCCTATGGGAAAATCCTATAGGGACTTTATCGAGGGAACCAGTTTTATGCTAGCAGCCGATTCGCCTTCAAGGTTACATCATAGTTCCTCCACTCTATAGTCTAGTGGTTAGCATGCTGACATATGGTGTAGTACCACGTCAGGGCGCCCTGATTTCAAACCCTGGTTTGAGGACATTTCCCTACCCTATAACTTTTACTCTTTAACATATTCATAGTGGCTCCCCGTTGACCGCAAATGTAAAAAAAATGTCCTGGAAATAGAGGCCAAACACCACATAGACATTGAATAAACTATTATTGACTGACATTCTTTAAATGCTCTTTCCTGAGTTAAATTCCTAAAAATAGCTAATCTTTTAATCTATTAAAAACAAACAAGGATTTCTAGATTCATTTCCATGCTGGGGTTGGGGGAGAGCTGGACATAAAGCCAGTTGTCCAGAGGTAAACAAACAAAACATTACATTTGGACATTAATGTGATACTGCACAAAATAAAAGCAAAGTGACACCTAAAAATTCAAAAGACAAAATAAAAATGACTCTGATAAACACATAAACCCCCAACCGGGAGCATCGTTAACATTAACAAATGAAGAAGCAGAACTTGCCTATTACAGTCTTTGGTTAAACTCAGCTCACACAGATGCAAGCCCTATGTGGACCTCCTTGACAGGGACACAACCTTCCCAAATCCCTAAATTACACAAAACGGCTTATATTAAGAGAAAAAAGTTTGTTTTTAAAGTATAGCATTTCAGTGTCGATCCCATGGTGTAAAGTTTATAGTGCAAGAAGTTGTCTTGGGACTATAATCTGTAAAAAAGAACAGATTCAATTTGGTCTGGGATGTGGAGATTTAGGAGCCTTGGCTTCTTGAAGAATTCTCACTCACTCCTCGTATCTCAATAAGCAAAAAAAAAAAATGTACATACTCAGACGTCCACTAGAATGAGATTCATAAATCAAATAAGGTCAAGTTGTTTGCATCTTCACTTCATTGCCTCTGAGATCCACCAACGGGCAAAAACACAAGAAATGTGCACACAGCATTTATGAAGATGGCCTGGAGTAATGCACATTCTCTCATGTGTTCATGTTGAAGTGAAGTACATTATGAAAGTACATTATTAGTACAGTATAAAAGCTGGTGTATGTGTAGTTTTTCTGTATGCAGAGTTGATAAATAAGCCCGCTGGTCCGTTTGGTCTTCAGCTGGATCTTTAGTCAGGGTTTGATTATTTTAAAGTCTGATAGTGATTTCATATTTGTCTGCCCACACTTGTCTTCTTGATCTCAGATGCCATTATTATTTGAATTAAGCTGTAAAATAGCTCAAACTAAAGAAGAAATTAAGACTTGGGATGGAGCTCCTCTACTCCTCTGAGATGTTGAGTTTGGACTCATTGATGAATATAATAGAAACTGACTTTTGACTGATCTGAGGAGAAACAGAGGTGTCAACTCAAGTCTGATTCTTTATCTTCTCCATTACATGTATTTATCCAAACTCTCAATAGCATCTCGTTTTGAGTATTTTCTCCACTCATCTGTGATCTTACTCCCTCCTGCAAATGTTGCATTGTACTCTTTTTCCAGATCTTTCTGGAATCTACAGACAAACCACTTCCAGTAGGGCAGTTCAGAGAGATCAGGAGTGATGCTCCACTGTGCATAAACTCCTCCTGCTCTTCTGTATTCTTTCCAAGGGAACCTTCCATCTGGTGTGTTAAACTCTTGACCACTTGCCACTAAATCTGTACAAAAATCAGCACAGAGATTTTGGGAGTAGTTTCTTCCATTAATTCCTCTCACTCTGTGAAAAGCAACACTGTGATCTCCATCATGGTTTTCTATGGTGTTTGTGCAGGTGGCTCCACAGAACGGACACTGAACCCAACAGCACTGACAGAAGTGATCAATCAGAAGATCATCTGGCCTGAACTTATAGTCCAGCTTTACTGGAAATGTGTCTGTGTTGAATCTGCTGCTGATGTCTGACATTACAGCAGGAAGCTCTTGTCTGATCACATCTTCTAGGAGTCTGAAATCATCAACATCATCATGTTTGACTCCAATGAGGTCTTTTTCAGAGAAGATCAGCTGATCTGAGAGCTGCTGTGTGAAACTCTTCAACCACAAACCAACATCTCCACTGTTGACTTGAACATGTTCAGTAGATTGATGTGCTGCGTTCATGATCTTCTGCTGCAGGAGTTTAATGTTCTCCTTCATCTTGGGTAAAACACTGATGCTGAACTTATCTCTGATGTAGCGACTGACTTCATCTCTGATGAAACTCTTGTAGTGACCTCTGGGATAATGAATGTAGTTCATGTATTTGTCAAAGTCCTCCTCTTCTGCCAGTGTCTTCAGGATGTGTTTCTCCAGATTTGATCTGTTTCCATTCAGTGATTCACAGTTTGATCTCATTTCATCTGCTAAATCTCTGGCAGTTTTCTTGTAGACGCTCTGCTCAATGGGCTCCTTCAGTTTCTGACAGATGATCTCAGCAAACATAGAAACTGATTTTACTCGTCTTCTCTTCAGTTCATCTTCATGCTGTTGTTTAAGGAATTTCAGTTGTAAATCTTCTAAAGTCTTTTGTTGATCTTCTCTCAGGTTTCTTTCTTCTTTCAGTCTCTTCTCTAAATCCTCTATTTGTTCTTGTCTCTCTCTTTCTTTCTTTTTGATATTTTCTTCTGTTTCATATAGTTTACTTTTGAGTCTCTGAATCTGTTCATCTGAATTCTGCTTTTCTATTTTTAGTCTTTTTAATTCTTCCTCTTGCCTGTCCTTCTGACATTCCTCCATCATCATCTTCATTTGGTCTTTCTCTTCTTCTAGTTTCTTCATCTTTTCTTCTGTTTCTCTGACTCTGTTCTTCAGGATCTTCATCTGCTGTTCTTGTTTTTCTCTCTCCATCTCTCTGAACATCTTACATGAGTATAAGCTTCCTCCGTTTGCCTTCACCATGTTGTCTATCTTCTCCAGTAGTTCAGACACTTGTGTTCGGTCTTCAGGCTGATTATTGTTGAACACATGGGATCTGTTTCCACAAGTTTTAATCAGTTTTCTAACCACAGATTTAGGTTTTCCCAGAAACATTTCAATGGTTTGATTCCTCAGCTCATCTCCTCTAGTGAAAAGCACCATAGTAAACATTAAAGAGTTTTGACCAAACGTCTCCTTTATAAACTCTACAGATTTTGCCTCCTCTTCAGTGAATCTCTGTCCTATACTGAGCAAGATGATGAACACATGTGGTCCAGGCAGAATCATGGAGACGCAGCGTCTGATTTCTCTCTGGATCTCCTCATTATTGAGTTCAGTATCAAACAGTCCTGGAGTGTCGATCACAGTGATGCGTCTGCCATTGATTTCAGATGATTCTCTCTGACTTGTCTCAGTAACAGATTCTTGTGATGCGCCTGCTTTAAATGCATTTCTTCCTAAGATTGTGTTTCCTGTTGAACTTTTTCCAACTCCAGTTTTTCCCAGAAGAATAATCCTCAGTTCATCTTCTCTCTCAGCTGAACCTGTAAAAAGGAATCAACATTAGTCAGTCTTTTGAACTGGATTATTAAAAAAGGCCTCTTTTTTTTTTTTTTTTTTTTTTTTGTTCTTTGGTATAGACTTTTGTTAATTAGTCTGATTGTTCTTTGCACCCCCTGTGTTTTCAGGTAAGCACTTTAGTCATAGAAGATTTTTCTATCATAGATCAATTCGTTTATGTTTATCTGCATGTCAGAGTTCTTTCACTTTTGTCTATGTTGTCTATGTTTGTCAGTATGTCAGCTGCATTTTCAGAATGCCAGTAGCATATATTTGATGAGACACTTTTTGTGTTTGGTGTTTTAAATGTGCTGACAGCTGAATAATGTTCAACTCTTAGTTAATGCAGTTCTGTTGAAATGCTCTAAAGTGCTCTGATCTTGGCATGTTTATTTGTTGGACACATACCCTTACCCTTTACCAAATCTGACACTGCAATTGTATGCTGCTTTCCGTCTACTCTGAGGGTGCTCTCACACTCATGAAAAGTGGTTTGAATGATTATTATTTTTTTAGTTTTATCATTCACCTTTCACCTCAAAATAAGAAGCATCAAGCAACAATTCTGGCAACACCAAAACAAGAACAAAACAAGTAACACAAATTGCCTCTGTGTGTGTAAAAACCTAAGTCTCCAGCATGTTACAGTGTTCCCCCTGCACGTACTGAGTGATGAATTGGTGGAACAATTCAGTAACACTTAATAGAAACAAAACTGTCACAATCATCAGTGCAGTGCCTAATGAGCTCTGCCACTGGTCACTTTACCCATGATTCTGTGGAGTGCCAATGAGCTCTACCACTGGTCACTTTACCCATGATTCTTGCCTCTCTGACAGGGGACGGGGGTGTTTGTGGAAGTAGTTGTTGCGGATGAAAGGTGAGTGGAGGGGGGGGGGGGTGTTGCCCACGGTTAAGTGGGTTGGGAAGTTGCAGAAAAAAGTGATGAGAGTTGTGGGTCGGGGGTGCGTGTGAGGAGTGGGATTGGTATAATGAGGTGGCGGATCTGATTTCAGGGGTGCCACATCCGGCACAAATTAAACCCTGCTTACAATTTAATGCTCCAGTTACTAAATTAACCCTTTAGGGAACAGAACTGCTATGGTGGAGAATCCACCTATGGGGATTTCGTTCAGAAAGTCAATCATCTGAAAGAGTAACAGGCCAGCAAGTGACTCCTTCGCTGAGTCAGTGCTGGGGGCCTTGGAGGACTCTCTTCAGGGCTCACCTGAGCGAGGAACTTAACTGACTGAGTGAAAATGCAAGTATCTCCCTGTTAGGGAGAATGGTGCAGCAAGCGTGTTTCAACACCTTAACTGAGTTGTCTCCTCAATTACCAAGGGTTACCTAAAATTCTTGAGCAACCCGGCTCGACTCGCAGATTTTAAAACCTTGCAAATGTATTAGGTGTCGCCCAGCCTGCAGCTCTACAGATGTCTGTTAGAGAAGCACCGCGTGCACACTCCCAAGAGGATGTGATGCTCTAGTGGAGTGCGCACAACTCCTGGGAGACACGGCTTGCCCTGGCTCTGGTAAGCGAGGGAGATCGCATAGACTATCCAGTGGGCCAACCACTGTTTAGATACGGTACTTCCCTGCTGCCGACCACTATAACAGACAAAGAGCTACTCAGATGATCTAAAGCAATGAGTGCGTTCAGATATATTTGCAAGCGCAAACTGGACCAAGTAATCAAAGGGTTGGGTCTGCCTCCTCTGGGGCAGCACTTGCAAGCTCAATATCTAGTCCTTAAATGGTGTGGTAGGAACCTTGGACACATATCCAGGGCGGGGTCTCAGGACAACGCGAGAGTAAGTCGGCCAAAATTCCAGGCATGAGCCACTGACCAAAAATGACTCCAGGTTCCCGACCCTCCTAATTGATGCCAACGCGACCAGCAGAGCTGTCTTCAAGGACAGTAATCTTAAAGATACTGAATTGAGTTGTTCAAAGGGATCTGTATGCAGGCTTGTGAAAAAGAAGGTGAGATCCCAAGAGGGCATGAGAAGGGGGCGGGGTGGATTAATTCGCCTAGCACCTCTAAGGAACCAGATGAAGAGGTTATGCCTTCCCATAGTGCTGCCAGCCACTGCATCATGATGAGCGGAGAGGGACTGACTCGATTGCATCCTTCGCCAAGTGGACAGCAATCTCCTTTCTAAAGACAGGGGCGAACAGGGGGCTGACCCTGTTAAAATACACTCTCGTGAACTTGGGAGGCCGTTTCGCGAATTGAATCTCATAACTGAGTGTGATTGTGTGTATGAGACACCGCGAAGGGCTGGCCCGTGCTAACCAGGCAGGCAGAGCTCTCGCTTATGGATTCATCGCTACAATTGCTGACGTACCAGCAGTGGGGCAGCACGGAGTAGGTGTGCTAATCCAGGAAGCACTGGGCTCCCGCGGAAGAGCTGGAGGAGAGATATTCTCTCTCAACTTGCACCCAAGCTCCGAAGGGGGGGCTCGAGGAGTGGGAGAAAGAAGACTGGTGAAATGCACAGAACCTGCAAGCCGGAAGGCATAGCGTCCCAGACTGGCAGAGTTTAGGCTCTCACATGCTCTCTCTCTCTAAGGTTTGGTGGCATTTTTTTAAGTGCCATTGGATGAAAAGCCCGGCCCCGGGGAGAAAGCAAGTTCCCTCTTCTCCAGATGGCCTGTCTCAGGAGCCCTACATGGTCCGTTTTACTGGACTTAGCAGCGCCAAGGGAGTGCTGGTTGCCTGCGAGGTGCTTGAAGCTGCCACTTGGCCAGAGGTGCAGGATGATGTTTGTCACTTCTCCACCGGCTGCGCACTTCAGTTTCTGCGCGCTTCATGGTTCATTCACAAAATATGTCATCATTCTACGCTGCAGAGGACAATCACAGCCAATCACATGACTTTTCCAGGGTTGCATAAACATGATGGGCTAGCATCTGCTTGAGAGTATTTGAATGTGTGAGAGAACATTTTGTCCTCTTTCAAGTGTGCTTGCATGAGAAGCAGAAGCGCCTGTGTTTTGTGTGTATGTATGTGCGTCGGAGGTCTAAGGTCAACGTCTGGTTTCAATCTTGCAGACTGCTCCCACAGTGGAAAAGTCCCGCGCTATACATTTCCTCTTTATGTTGCTTGTATAGCATGCCCATATTAAGAGTGTCTTCCTTCCGTTGTGTAACTTTTAAAGGTCAGCCCACTATGTATATCTATCCCTGCTCATCCTGTGTGTGTTAGGCTTGCAGAATAAACCATTCTAACAACAGTTTGGTCTCTTCTCCTGTCTCCAAGTCGACTTGCTGAACCACGCTGAATCTGGTGCCTAATTTAGGGGAATCTTACAGACCTGGGGGCTCGTCCGGGATACATCTGATCAGGTAAGAGAATTTTTATTCACACTGCCTGCTCCGGTGTATCTCAGGAAATCGTAAGATTTTAATTAAAAATTGGGTTGCGCAAGAAAGAGAGGTCTGTGCTCTAGAGCACAGAATATCCTGTCAAGTTTACTTTCAACAGTAAATTGCACAGAAGGATTTGTGTCGTCGTACTCAATTAAATTTGGGTTCCACAAATCAGGGAAATTTATTAATTTGACACTTGTTATCCTGTCAAGTTTACTTCAAACAGTAAATTGCACAGAAGGATTTGTGTTGTCGTACTCAATTAAATTTGGGTTCCACAAATCAGGGGATTTTATTAAAAAGATAACGTATTACGCACCAGCTTCAGCAATATGGGACAAGGATATCCAAAAACCAGAACCCAGTGAGAGTCCAAAGCAATGGATGGATAGATGTGGGTGGGGATTTTTACACTGAACCCTGGCTGTCCAATTTAGCTGGGTGGACAGAGGGGCAATCCCAGTGGAGAAACTTCCCCAGGGAAGGAACCTTTGATCCAGGTTTTCTCCAATCAGCCTATAAATTAACATATGAAGGATATGGGGATCCTAAGTGGGATGATCAGTATATGATGAATGGATATGACACATGGTATACAATGAGCTCTATATGGAGAGATAAAAAGGGCATTTTTACACCTAAAACCGTTTTGAAATCTGTCCAAAACCCAAAAGCAGAAGCAATACTGCCCTTACGGCAGATAAGAGGGGCTCTCTTGCAGCTGCTAAAACCACCATGACGTCACCGCCCCCTTATACGGGGCCTTCGCAATCTATCTCATGCTCTGCCAGAGATAATTCCGCCCTCACCCTCTGTTCTGAAGGATCTCATATCTCTTCTGCCCGAAGTGGACAAACCACTGCAATTTGTAGACATGCTGTTGCGCAGTTCGTGTCACTGCCAACTAATTGGGGCAGATTATCGATTTATCCTCCAAACCAAAATGGGTTCGTCCTATGACAATGAAGAAATAACAACAAAAATACCTGCTCTTGATCCCAAGCATGATATAGTACAAACAGAGACAGTTAAAAGAGGAATCAGATGATGGAAAAAAGACACGCACTCGTATAAAAACACGCCTCGCGTGGAAAGATGATCAGAAGGAGCTCCTGACACATCTAAAACAGCAGCTTACTAAATACTTAGTACCATACTTACTGGTCTGAATGTGATGCCACGACTGATCCTAATAGAATAATGCTAGATGGCAAAGGCCGTTTATGCCTCCCATCCTCATGTGCTCCTTTTCTCGTCCGCGAGTTTCACGGCGTTACACACCGCGGCCGAAGAGGGGTAATAGAGACAATGAGTTCATTTTTATGCATCAATAATTTACAGCACCATGTTAATAATACGCTAGACAGATGTTTGATATGTGCTCAAAACAATATCACTAAACCTCAAGCCAAACATCAACAATTGCCCCTTCCTGAAACACCTTTTCAGGAATGGCAGGTAGATTTCACACATCTGCCAAAGAGGGGTCCTAATAAATATCTACTGGTTTTTGTGGACAAATTTTCAAAATGGGTTGAAGCCTTCCCATGCAGTAAAGAAGATGCTAATATAGTTGTCAGATGTTTGACAAGAGAAATCATTACAAGATACGGTATACCATGTGCCATAGACTCAGATAAGGGAACCTCATTTACTGCGAAAGTAATACAAATTCTAGCTAAAGAACTCCAAATTAATTGGCAGCTACATATTCCCTATCATCCACAATCATCTGGCATAGTAGAACGAACTAATAGGACTATTAAAGACAAATTAAGAAAAGCCATGCAACATGCAGGTCATTCTAATTGGCTCGCCTTGCTACCTCTTGTTTTAGCAGACATGAGGATGTTTCCTCACAAAAGTCTTCACGGTCTCTCTCCTTATGAGACTGTGATGGGACGACCCTTTCCCTCACCATGGAGGCAAAGGGGTACCACACTGGGTGACGGTTCTTTGGATATTCATATGAGTGAATGTGCACAACAGCTACTAACAACATTGCATGCATACTGGACTAACATACATTCTGGTTCAGCCACGATGCCGGTAGACCCAACACACCCCTTTAAGGCCGGTGACAGAGTAATGATTAGACAGTTCAATAAAATGAGCACAGAACTGGGGGACCCCAAATATGGCCCCCGACGGATGTCGTGGCTGTAACCAGAACCGCCGTTTTAACCTCCTCTTCTCCACAGTGGATCCATGCAACCAGGATAAAACGAGCACTTATTGAATAATAAAAATGTATAAGTTTTGTACTATGATAATCTGTCTGCAGACTCTCTTTGTTTTACAGATTTTGGGGGCCCCCTCAGCACAGACGACACCTCTACAGCTGCAATTCACCTCTACAGCTGCACAATTGCGTTTGGGAGACAGATGGGAGCTAAACACGTAGCACTGTCTACCTTAAGGCAAGGGTCAGCATGACTTCCTTTTTGCTGCGGACAATTGGACTGTTTCTCTTTCTTGTTGCTCAAGCTAATGCTGGACACATGATCATGAATTCGGATGGGCAGAGGATGGGGCTGACAATCCTATTGGAACTAATATGTGGTATCAATATGTGAAGGTTTTAGCTAGGTCATATAATGTATCTGGTTGTTATGTATGTTCTGTTATGCCTCATTCAGCCAAGCAAACCCCTCTTTATGCCAAACCCATGAATAAGACCTCTGCTAAATGTTCTGCCAGTTTTGCAGGATCAGGGTACCAGGACGCATATATAATTGTCGATGACTACGATCCATACCGGATTGGCATTAGAAATGGTACATGTGATGCTCTATTTTGGGTAAAATTTGGCCATGCTAAACCCTCACCTATTAGCCACAAGGTTTTTATTAACCACTCTATTACACACCCTGTGTGCTACAACCAGACCAAGGGCTCTCATTTTATGGGAAGCACTGTCAACTGTCAGCAGATTTTCTGCTCCGGAGAAGGAGCCCCAGTCGACATCTCAGGACCCTCAAATGGCACTTATGTGGTCCAGGGTGGGTGGTGATTGTGTGGGAAAAACGCCTACATGTCCCTACCGGCCAACTGGACGGGGCAGTGTGCCCCTGTGCATGTGACTGGTCACACTTTTATTGTGACAGCCCAGGTCCTGTCAGTACAGCAAAGAGTTAAACGCAGTGTCCCTGAAATGAAGCCCCATGACTCTGTATGGGGTACTGATGTGCCCGAGGATTTCAAATTATGGACCACTGGTAGTAAAATGGTATTGGCTCTATTTCCGCAAATAGGTGTGGGAAAAGCTCTACTAAGAATTGAGACCCTGGACTATCGCATGGGCCTATTCCTGAATGCCTCAAAAAATAATTAATGAGGCCCAGAATAAGGAGCTGGGTAATCTACGTACCATGGTTTTGCAAAATAGAATGGCTCTAGATCTCTTAACAAGCATCCCAGGGGGGGGGTATGTAAATGAGTACTGCTATGTCTACTCTCCAAGGGTTAAAAATTGCCATGACTTCAGATTATGTTCCCGACACAACTTGGGGTTGGATGATGGGTCTGTTCGGCTGGGTGACTCCTTTTCTTACAATGATAATTCCTGTATGTATTATTTTCCTTCTTATTTGTTGTTGTGGTCCTTTTCTCTTGCAATGTTTAATGAATCGAATCTATGCCACAATGGACAGTATGATGGGTCAACGATATGATAAGATTCCTCTGCGTTAGGCCTTTGGCCTAAAAGAGGGGACTGAGAGAACATTTTGTCCTCTTTCAAGTGTGCTTGCATGAGAAGCAGAAGCGCCTGTGTTTTGTGTGTATGTATGTGCGTCGGAGGTCTAAGGTCAACGTCTGGTTTCAATCTTGCAGACTGCTCCCACAGTGGAAAAGTCCCGCGCTATACATTTCCTCTTTATGTTGCTTGTATAGCATGCCCATATTAAGAGTGTCTTCCTTCCGTTGTGTAACTTTTAAAGGTCAGCCCACTATGTATATCTATCCCTGCTCATCCTGTGTGTGTTAGGCTTGCAGAATAAACCATTCTAACTACAGTTTGGTCTCTTCTCCTGTCTCCAAGTCGACTTGCTGAACCACGCTGAATCTGGTGCCTAATTTAGGGGAATCTTACAATGTGGCATGACCTAACTTGCATATGTTTGACGATTTAATGTTCACTCAAAGTTTGCATGAACATTTGATGGTGACATTAGAAAAATAACATTTAGAAATTACTTTAAATCATCAGAGGGCAGTTACATTCAGTGAACCACCTTAGTGCTAAAAGCTGCCATGTAGTTTATGTCGTGACTAGTTGACGTCAATCAAAAAGCATCAAATTGATTTTTTATTTTTTTTTGCAGAGAAATATTCTGGGAATTTGTAGTATTTCTATGACTTGCTGCAATATATATTGTGAAAAGTTAAGCTTGACTGTGTATCTGGTTTTTGTACCATCAGACTAGTTTGAAAATATAGACGTATGATACATTGAAAAAAGGGTCCCACTTTATTTCAAGTGGCCTTAAGTACTTTGTACTTGCATTAAAATATGATTAGAATTTACTTAACGTGTTCATAATGTATTTCAAAAGGCTTCTGGTGCCCTTGAGGTTGATACGGATGAGGTTCGGGACAGGTTTGGTGGTATGGGTAGGTTTAAGGGTGGGTTATGGTGTAAGGGATGATCAAAAGTGTAATTACAAATATAATAACAGAAACTGATTAAAGATAAAAATTACATGCATGTATTTAAATCAAGCACAATGTAAAAACATGCATTTACACAAGTAGATTGTAACAAATTATTTGTTTCAGTGCGAGTATATATCAGTTAAGGCCACTTAATATAATTCATGCCTCATATTTTAAAACCCAAATTCATTTTCAACTCCTACCTTGTGACAGAAAGTGTGTCTCCAGTGAATGAAGTTTCTTCTTCATCTCTTCATATTCCATATTTTTTTTCATCTGCACTTCCAGAAATGTCTCTGTGGAGTAAAAGCCTCCTCTGTTTTCCTCCAGCATCTTCTCAATGTTCTCCATCAATGTGGCCTCTTGTGTTTCAGGATTAATGTACTGATGTCTTCCTCCAAAACTCTGAATGACAGCCTGTGTTTCTTCATTGAGTTCTGCTGTCTGATGCTCTGAATTCTGCATGATGAGGATCATGATGTGTTTGTTGATTCTGGAGCTGAAGATCTTCTGGATCTCCTCCATTTCTGCTCTGTCTTCATTATTGAGTGGAGCGTCAGGAATAATGAGGAGGAAAGCATGAACTCCAGGATGACAGCGAGACACACAGCAAAGAGTCTGACGCATCACTTCCTCCTCTGAGAGCCCAGTGTTGAACAGAGCTGGAAGCTCCAGCACATTGATCAGACGACCATGAAGATCCACGTCTGTCCTCACACTCTCTGATCTTCTGTGTGTGTGTTGCAGGATCAGCTCTGAGATGGAGGATTTCAGTGAGCCGTCGCTCCCACACACCAACACATTTAGCCTCTCACAGTCTGAAACTGTAGAAGAAGATTTAAAAGCATTGATATATCAATAGAAACATCAGATATGATCACACTCATGTCTGTGTCCCGTTTCTCCACTGTGTGTCTTTTCTTAAGTAAATCTGGAAAACCTTTATCCACTGCAATCAAACAGAACTGATTAGCAGACGACTATTAAATATGGGACCAACTTTAGTCTACTTCAGTATATACTGTAGGCTAGGCTTGCGCGGTATTTAGGTATTATGGTATAACGTGGGATCTAAAAATAGCAACGGTGTCATTTTCAATACCGTTATACGTCATAAAAAATTAAATATCCTTCATTTAATGCCTACAAAAAGTATACGTGATTGTCAACACGGGACAGTATGGAGGAGAGAGAGAGAGAAAGAGAGGGAGGGGGAGAGGTGAGGTGACGAATCGCACTCCAAAGTGACTTGCAGTTTGGCAGTATTTCTGGTTTCGACTGAAAAAGGAGGGAGACGTGGTAAATATGAATGAACTAGAGGTCTGCATTAGAGCTGAAGATCTTTGCCCGAACCCGGCGAGACCCGAAAAAATCCAAATCCCTGCATTAAAATCCATCCCTGCAAAGGTGAAACAAATGATGACGAAGTAGTAAAAAAAGCGAATTTTGACGGCGGTCAAGCCAGTCACTAGCTCAGAAGGAGCGGTTATTCTAGCCGCAGGTATTTGGTCGGTCGCTCATACACTGCGTATTACGTTAGAGCCCTAAACCACAAGCTGACAGGTAAAAAGACGAGGCCACTCGCTACACTGAAACTGCTGTCATGGAAATTAAATGGATGTTCCAGACTGGTAGAAGATGAACAAACAATCCTACCCAAAACTTGCAACACAGCCGGATCAGAACTCTGCATCTTGACCTGTAGCAGTAGGAAAGGGTGTTCAGTTCTGCTGGACGCACCATGAGAGCAAGACTGCGCTAAAGCCTGTGCGGATTTAATAATGTTCCTCCACAAACACACGTAGCCTAATCTTGGTGAGTAAAGGGTTTTTAAATAATAAATGAATATTAATTAAACCATATAATCATAATGTAGACAGAGTATACAGGCTAATGCTGGCATTATTCTTTTATTATTCAGCTTCACGACCGCCCTAATGCCAGATTGTGAAGTGAAGTCGAAACAAGGCAAAACAAATCTTGCACAGCCTTTATCTTAATTTCGTTATTGCCAAAATACCCGTCACCATTTAGAGTTTATTTTAATTTGATTTGTTAAGCACGATTTCTTTTCATTGGTGTGCTGGCCTATTTAATGGCTAAGTGTATGTGTCTAGACCTATAGAGTGCTGAGATGTCACAATGTTACAGAGGACTTATTTTATTTCTTTGTTCCAACTTCCAAGTAGTCTATAGTCTACATTTGTTACGAATAAACGATGTTAAAACATATAAATGACTCATTCTTGAAAAGAAGGCAAAAGAGTTGTGTGCATGAGCACATTTCTATAATGTCGGGCTGTAAACGGGTTCGGGCTTTATAAAGCTGTCAATCAAAATGTACCTGTCGGTCTCGGGCACCATCGGGTATAATATTTATGGCCCGACATTTTATTTTTTACAGCTCTCTGCATTTGCGCTGCTATACTGCGGGAGCCGGCCAGATTTCTTGCGGTGTGTGAATAAATTTCAGAAAAAATTGCAGGAACGATGTGTGTGTGTGTGTGTTTGTGTAAGATAGATAGAGAGAGAGAGAGAGAGAGAGAGAGAGAGCAGTGCTGTGTGTGTGTCCGTGTGCGAATGAGAGGAGTGTCCCGCGCAGAAGAATACAAACAAGACAAACAGGTGACCGCGAACCTAAGGTCGCAAGAAAGGTATTAAGTTTCTTAATGGTTTAGGCACAAGCCAACAGTTTGGTGACGCTGTCTGAGCCTTACGTCATAATTTTTTTTTTATTATGCATGGTAATACCGGACAGCAGGGTAAAATATGGAGGAGGTTTGATGGTATCAAAATTTGGATACCACCCAAGCTTACTGTAGGCCTGTATAAATGTTTACTGTCTCTTGAAACGTATGCAACAGTGATTAAAATTATTTGTCTTTTGGACTTCCGGTATGGCGTTGGAACGAGTGGCAGTGTAGATTGAGAGCTCCCAGACAGACATATTATACTCCCCGAATTTAACTTGAAATACTTCTTGAAATTATCGAACAAACATGGAGGGAGATAAGCAACGAAAGGCTAAAAGTAAATTACCTAAAAAACCTGAGAAACATGGGAAACAAACGATGGAAAACGAAAGCACCGCTGGTGAACACGAGGCCAAAGATTCCTCTCAAGCATGTATCGGTGCTATATACGCTGAAATTAAAGCTATCCGATCGGATGTGAAGACGGATTTAAACAACTTTCACGAGACGCTTCTTACAGAAATGAAAACTGACTTGACAAACTTCAGAGTGGATATCAACGTTAAACTGGATGAAATCGCCACAGATCTGAAAGACGCGATGGGTAGATTGGAGGAGGCCGAACAGAGAGTGGCGGATTTAGAGGACTGGAGCACCGGAGCTAAAGAAGTGCTATGTCAAACCCTTGAAATCCAACAGAAAATGCAGACTAAACTAACGGATATCGAAGCAAGATCTCGGCGAAACAATATACGTTTACACGGAATCCCGGAGGAGGCTGAAGGGAGCAACATACAGGAGTTTATTGAAACTTTCATCAAGACGGAATTATCCCTCTCCGATACCGAATTTGGGATACAGCGCTGTCACAGGGCGCTCGGCCCCAAGCCGCCGCCGAATGCTAATCCCCGATCTGTTGTGATTTACTTTCTAGAATATAAAACCAAAGAATTGGTGCTTCGTTCGGCTTGGAGAAAAAAGGAAGTTCACCTGAATGGTAAACGAGTGTACTTTGACCAAGATTACCCCGCGGAAACCCAGAAGATGAGGAGAGCATTCGCTCCAATAAGGAAACTTCTCAAAGAAAAGGGTCTCCGTTTTCAGACACCACCTCCGGCTAAACTTCGTGTATTTTTTGAAGATGGTCCAGTTGTTTATAACAGCGTAACCGAAGCTATGGAGGATCTACAAAAGAAAGGAGTGACTACGGCTAACATCAGAGAGGATCACACCTCCCCATCGGCATCCATGGAGAAGCTGAGTAACGTTAAAATATCCTGGGAGACAGCGGGCGCAAAGCAACGGCGCGGCAGAGAGACACATCTGGAGAAAACGCGGAAAAGGCTCCAGGATTTCCGCCGAGACATTGGAGATACTAAATGACTTTCTTTCAGGGTAAAATCAGTTAATAATAATTGTTACATCTACTATTAAAACTACCAAAATGTTATAATAAGGACAATATTCATTTAAAAACTCTAAACATTTATACGATTTGAGTTGTAAAAAATGTAAAAAATAATTTTGTTTAAGTTCTAGCCTAATAGATTTATAAATGCGAAAAAAAAATTGTCTGGGAGTTCTGGGAAGAATTAGTTCCACTAAGTGCACTGATTTATAATATCGGTTTGCACTGGGGAGGCCCTTCGTTAACCGGAGACTTTCCTTTCCAAACAGAAGTTACTTTGGAAGAAACTTTGATTATGGAAGTTACTGTTATTTTTATATTTTATTTTATTTTTTATTTTTTTCCCTGTTTTGTGTTAACTGTTATAATGTAATGATCATCCAGGGCTTACAGTATGATAATGTACATGATGACACATGTCGCAACAAGAGTATAGAATAATATCACTTAATGTTAACAGGTTACAAAATCCCATCAAGAGAAGTAAACTCATAGCGAAGATGAAAAGAGAGAACCAACATATAATTTTTTGGCAAGAAACTCATCTGGTATAATCTGAACATGAAAAATTAAAAAGGTTAGGATTTAGAAACACATTTTACTCATCATATAATAAGGGACATGCTAGAGGAGTTGCAATATTGATATCAAATAATGTGACCTTCCAGGCTACCAACCAAATTGCTGATAAAGAAGGGCGTTACATTCTGGTGAAAGGGATACTCGATTCGAGAGAAGTAACATTGTTTAACATTTACAGACCACCAGGACAGGATAAAATATTAATTAAGAAAATATTTGACCTAATAAATTCAGAAGTTTCGGGTACTCTTATTTGTGGGGGGGGGGGGACTGGAACGTACAGTTGCATCCTACCCTTGACTCTTCAAATCCAACAAAGAAGACAAATTCTGAATCACTGTTTGTTAAGAGGATGCTAAAGGCCACAGGCCTGTTTGATATATGGAGGGAACTCCACCCATCTAGTAGACAGTTCACTTTCTTCTCCCATCCTCACAAGGTTTACTCTAGGGTTGACTATTTTTTCATGTATCACTCAGAGAGGCACAGAATTATAGACTGTGAAATAGGAGTTAAAGATGTTTCGGATCATGCAGGACTGTATTTGAGACTCCATCTTGATGTTCAACCCAAAAACACTATTTGGAGACTAAATACTAGTTTTCTGAATGATCGCCAATGTAAAGAATACATTAAAAAAGAAATTAAGGACTACATTGAGTTTAATAATAATGAGGATATGTCACCATGTGTTATATGGGAAGATGCCAAAGCAGTGCTGAGAGGAAAGCTCATAAAGTGGGCATCGAGGAAAAAAAAAGAAAAACAGATGTTAATGAATGTCTTAACAAATAAATTAAAGATACTGGAACAGAAACATATTGAATTAAATAAACCTGAATTACTAGATGAAATAAAAATAATAAAACAACAAGTAAATAAGATTCTTGACAAACAAGTGGAGATTAAACTCAAATATGTTAAACAGAACTATTATGAGAGCGGTCCCAGAGCTAAAAGAATGTTAGCTTGGAGACTTCGTAAACAACAAACAGAAAGGTCAATTTTTAAAATCAAGGATCCTGAAACCAATGTAATGTGTTACAAACCAGAAGAAATATCACAATCTTTTGAAAATTACTATAAGAAACTATACTGTCAGCCAGAAGCGGCAGACCCCTCAATTATAAAAAGTTTTTTAGAATCTCTAGATTTACCATCAGTAGGAGTGAAACAAAACAAATCGGTAACACAAGAAATTATAGAAACAGAAATTGATAATGCAATATCAAACTTAAAAACAAACAAAGTACTGGGAGGAGATGGATACCCAGCAGAGTGGTATAAAACCTTTAAGGAATTTCTGAAACCTATGCTTCTAAAATGTTTTAACCATATTCTTAAGGGAGGGGGAACCCCAGTGTCCTGGAAACAAGCTATTATATCCGTAATACCAAAGGCTGGAAAAGATAGGACAGAATGCGGCTCATACAGACCTATTTCAGTTTTAAATATAGATTACAGAATATACGCATCAATATTAGCAAAAAGATTAGAGAATATAGTTCCTGAACTAATTGATACTGACCAAACAGGATTTGTTAAAAATAGGCAGACACACAATAATGTAAGACGTGCTTTATTTTTACTTGAGAACATGAGTAAAAATAATTACAAATCTTTGGCAATTAGCCTTGATGCTGAAAAAGCTTTCGATTCGGTGCGATGGGAATATTTGTACCTGGTGCTGGAACGCTTTGGCTTTAATAAAGAAGTTATAGGAAGTCTTAAACCATTATATCATTTACCAACAGCCCAGATTAAAATAAATGGTAACGTCTACAGCTCAATTACACTGGAATGGGGATGTCGTCAGGGATGCCCCTTAAGTCCCACACTTTTTGCTCTATTCATAGAGCCATTAGCTCAGGCTATCAGAGAACATACGGAAATTTTAGGCATTCCAATGGAAAAAACAGAACATAAAATATGCCTGCATGCAGATGACGTCCTTGTGACTATTTCCGACCCAGATTCTAGTTTACCTAAACTTATGTCTTGCCTTGAACAATTTGGTTGGTATTCAGGATATAAACTAAATTTACACAAAACTCAATGCCTTTCTTTTAATTATTTACCACAGGAAAACATACGTAATAAATATAATTTTAAGTGGAAAACAAAGAATATTAAATATCTAGGGATTAATATACCTAAGAATTTGACTAAAATGTATACAACTAATTATGGCCCTATGACAAAGGAGATAAAAACAGACCTGGATAGTTGGACACCCCTACCTTTAAGTTTATATAACCGAATAGAAATTATAAAGATGAATGTTCTGCCGCGACTGCTGTTTCTTTTCCAATCTCTACCTATTGAAATACCAAAAAAACAATTTAAGGATTGGAATCAAATGATTTCGAGATTTATATGGAAGAATCTGAAACCCAGAGTGAGACTTAAAACACTACAATTAACAAAGGAAAGGAGAGGACTGTCCCTTCCGTGTTTGGAGGATTATTATAAAGCGGCACAACTAAAACACCTAGTCAGCTGGTGTATAGATGATTATGATGCAAAATGGAAAGAATCAGAATTTAATCAGTTGGACTTTCCCCTTCCTTGTTTATTAGGGGACAAAAGGACTTTGACTATGCACTCCAACAAATTAAGCACTTGGACATTGGTTCCTCTTAATATTTGGTTTAAAGAGTGCAAAACCCTAAAGTTGGAGAGACATGCACAGCTGTTAAGATGGGTGGCATATGATAGAGACTTTAAACCCTCTCAGATGGACGCACGGTTTAAACAATGGATTTGGAACGGCATTACTTCATACTGTACAATCTCATCCAAGACAGATTTAGATAGCTTTCAAAGTCTAATTGATAGATATAACTTAGAGAAACAGGATTTCTATAGATATTTACAGCTTAGAACTCACTTTAATAAAAACATTAAAAATAAGGAGGGAAGTGACCTGAGTCTCATTAACATTTTTGTTGCTGCATATAAAGGTAGTATTCATAAGAAACTAGTATCAAGAATATATGCATACATACAGTCTGCCAAGTCTCTCTCTACCTTATATGTTAAAGAGAAATGGGAGAAGGAGGCGAACATATTTCTGTCAGAAGAAGATTGGACAAATATTTGTAAAACTCAACATACTACCTCTAGTTCTGGTCAAAGGAGAGAATTCTCATGGAAAAATATGATTAGATTCTTTATTACTCCAAAAAGGAAATACTCACAGAATGGTAACTTAGATTCTGCACGTTGCTGGAGACGATGTAACAATTTTATGGCTGATTATTATCATATATTCTGGAATTGTCCAGCAATCCAATCTTATTGGTTAATGGTGGTCACTGAAATTGAATCAATACTGGGTTTTGAGATTGATCATAGCTTTGGTACTATATATTTAGGAAACATACAAACCAATTTTAATGCACAAGACAAATACCTTCTCAAAATACTATTATGTTAGTAAAAAAGCAATAACCAAGAAATGGTTGGAAGAGATTCCACCAACAAAGGATGAGTGGATAACAATTGTAGATAATATGTTTGAAATGGAGAAACTCACCTTTTCTTTAAGACTAAACATGGATAAATGCTTTAAAAATTGGTCAAAATGGTTTATATATAAGAATATAGAAAATATATAATTTGCTAGGAAATGCTTTGCAATGAGTGCGAACCCCCCTCCTCCCCTTATTTATATTTATTTATATTTTTTATTTTTATTATTATTATTTTTTCAATATATGTACATATATATGTATATTATATATGTGAAATATTTTGTTTGGACCGCACATTACAGATTGTAAAAGACTGAATCATATGGACTTGAAGGAAACTATGTTGGTGTTCATGCTTATAACACAGTACCTTTTACTGACGGGTTAGGGTGGGGGCTAATGGGAGAGTAACCTGTACTATAAAAACGACTGTATAAGAAGAATGTAATAATTGTATGTGATGCCTCTGGTGATCTGTTTGTTCCGTTATGTTAAAACGAATAAAAAACAAAAGTTTAAAAAAAAAATTATTTGTCTTTTGTTTACTTTTATCTAGGGGGTGAAAACATGATTTGATCAAATCTAAAAAAAAAAAAAAAAAGAAATAGATTTAAAAAAATGTAGTTTTTAAAATTGTATAACTTAAACGTGCATAATTGCTTTTTAGTGTCTTTTGTACTCTTCATACACTGAGACTTATCTGAGAAACAAATCCTGACCTTGTAATTATTGCTAATGCTGAAGTCTGTTGATTAGGCTAGGGGAAAGTTTAACAGCACAGATAAAAATGACATTATAGCATGTCTAGTAGGAGATGAAACTGAGTTTTGACAGATTTATTTAGATTGATTTTAGAGGCTTTTGTGTACTGACAAATGTAAAGACTTACGTGAAGGAGGTTTCTCCCTGCTGTGTGCTCTCCTGTGAGCAGTACTGCTACTGGCAGACACTGTATGAAACAGAAGCCTTATATTATAATCATTTTACAAAAGCAAAATAAATAGCTGTGCTAAATCCACAAAGAAGCAATACACAGTTAAAAGCATATTGGTTAAAGCATAAGTATGAGAAGCTGAGCGTATTGAAGGTATTAGGTATTAAATAAAGCATGAATGATAAAGTACAGTAGTATAAGCAGAGGGTGATGACAGAGACACTTCACTTGCAGAATAACCAGAATAAAAAAACGTTTAGAGTGATTTAATGAATCGTTAATCTAATCTGTGTGTAATTCACCTCTGCCTTCTCTCCCGGACATGTTGATATTGTGTTTCCTATTTCGTCTTTCTTCAGTGTTCAGTGGATCATCTTTCCTGTTTGTTCATCATCCTGTAAAAGATTCATCAGACCTGAGACTGTTCATTTCTCCAGACTGCTGTCATGTTGAGCTGCACACCTGCTGTGAGTCAAAGAATAAACACACTGATTCAGCTTCACTGATTCAATGAACAAACACACTGATTCAGAATCACCAAGTCAATGAACAAACACACTTGATTCAGCTTCACTGAGTCAATGAACAAACACACTGATTCCGATTCACTGAGTCAATGAACAAACACACTGATTCAGATTCACTGAATCAATGAACAAACACACTGATTCAGATTCACAGAGTCAATGAACAAACACACTGATTCATATTCACCAAGTCAATGAACAAACACACTGATTCAGATCCACTGAGTCAATGAACAAACACATTGATTCAGATTCACTGAGTCAATAAACAAACACACTGATTCAGATTCAATGTGAGTCAATGAACAAACACACTGATTCAGATTCACTGAGTCAATGAACAAACACACTAATTCAGCTTCACTTCACTGTAAGTCAATGTAGTACAAACACTGATGTAGCATCACTTCACAGAGGCAATAAACAAACACACCAATTCAACTTAACAGCAGCACTTTTGTATGGACCTATTTCTTAGAACGCAGAATTACCCGTTATGCTTTACATGTACAAGAAGGCTTCGAACTTACAGTCGGCAGCTTGATGTGCATAAACACTCACACTTGGACAGCTTTGAGGCATTTTCCCCTTGTTATCAGACGGCATGTTGTGTCGTTTAAATGAAGTCTCGTCATCGCTACCGTCAACATTTTCTCTTTCTCAAATGTAATTCACCAAAATGTTTGACACACACACACACACACACACACTTAGCCTACTGTACTGTTCCACTGACATTGACTGAAGTGTCACAAAGTGAAAATAATGTGGCGTTTTGAAATGAAAAAAAAAAACTGTGGTAAATAAAACACAACACACACTAACTAAATGAAACATAACCGCTCCCGATTAAAATCAACATGCAAATCAGCCAGCAGAGTATCAGTAACAGACCTTTATTGATCATTTTTGGCAATTGCATGGCTTACATACCATATTGCAGTGAAGTATTGTGTGTGTGTGTGTGTGTGTGTAAGAGAGTGTGTGTTTTCTGCATTAAAGAGTACACTATAACAACACTTGAACCGCATTTAACAGAAGTTAAATGACTTTAACACACGTCTTTGTTTCAAAGTTAAAGTTTTGCATCACAAAAACACTCCGTAAGCCACTGAAAACAGTTCCGGCACCCAGTTGAGAAACGCTCCTCTGTCTGATGACAATTCTTAACGGACGTTCTAAGCAGTCTAGCTGAAGATGCAGCAATGTAGAAAATTGTCTATAAAACTGAAGGGCTTTATCTGGTGAAAACAACTGTCCTGGAGGTGATCCTGTTTTTTACAAAGCTTTTTTAACAAAACATAAAGATTTAACACAAAACATTGTTCTGGGACATAACAGTCAAATGTTTTCACTGCTGGTCAAGGCAATACAAAGCTCCCAGATGTGCCTGTGTTATTTATCGGTTGTCATCTTGGTATAGCATACCTTGCAATGTTGCAACTGACCAATCAGAAACGAGTATTACCGACAGCCGTGTAATAAGACATGGATGAACATAACCCAGTCAAAAAGATACATTTATTTGACCGAGAGAGATAGAGGAGCGCTAATGCGAAACTGAAAGTAATGAACTCATAAGCTTTAGCCTGTTCTGGCATGTAAACTCAGCCCCCTTGTGACCAAATAAGACACTAACAAATTAATGCAATTTCTGAATGCACATTGTAGAAATTAAGAAAAAAGTGTTTAAATTATATTCTTATATTCTTTTTTAACAATACAAAAAGAGCCCCACATTCATAAAACTATTTCTTGATAAGCGATTCTTTAAGCGCAACTCACTGAGGCATATTACAGTAAGACAATAATCTAGTGCAGTGATTGACAGCAAACGAGTTCTGATAAGAGTCTGCTGGTATGTCTCAGATAGTTTTTAAAGCAGCTCAGCTGACTGCGGAGGTACAGCTCCTCTGGTGACTGTAGTTCTTTAGACTTGAGACTGACCTGTAACTGTTCTTAACTGAGCTATTCTGCAAATGTCTAAAATTAGCTGTTTTTTACATGTTAATAAACAGTGCTTCATATTGATAACAGAAAGCCTGACTTAAGTAACACTAATGCGCACTGTATAGCACACCTCAGTCAATTATTTATTCGGCACTTTTCAAGGTTTATTTTTTTGTAAAGTTTATTTAATGTTAATGAAAGTGATCTAACACCAAAACAATGATTAACCTTGTTTCAAACGATTAAATACATACAAGAAGACCAACAGCTTAATCTAATATTAATGTAATGAAAAGCCATTAAATCTCTTTTAGACATCCAACCAGTTAAAGCAGACCTTCATGTGAACTAAAAAACCTGCGTACACGAGTGACCAGACGTGAGACTGGATCGTAGCTACCCCCAATCTCAATGTTTGTGTTCAAATGACCGTATGCCCACTTTGTATGTTGATTTGATAAATGTGAGTCGATGAACAAACACACAAAACCACATGACTGAGATCTGCTTCATCAGACAGTAAAGTACACATTACGAATTATAATTAAGCAAATCTGTGCTGAACAACATGAGCTTTGACTTTAATCTGTACATAAAGAATTTAGAAAATCTCTAAGTGCAAATGTGAATTGTTTTTGATGTGATTATTTCCAAAATGAAAGAGAAACTCACAGATGTTGCCGCAGTTCATACAGTTAATCACATTTATCATCAAGTGTTCATTTATCATGTATATTTCATTTAATAAACAAAGAGAGTATTTGTAAGGAAAAGTGACACTGTACCTGTGTGTCGCAGTTTCTCCGTGTTCAGAGGTTTGTTTTTGTCAGTGTGAGATCAGGAAGAGGTTTGCAGGTGGAGTCTTTCTTGTAAAACTGTAAAAACCTGTTTCTGTGTTTCTGGTCTGACAACATTCACTACAGGGACAAGTTTAAGTAACACTGGGGGAAAACAACAAGACATGCAACTGCAAAAAAACAAAACAGCTGCTCACTGTAAATATATTCAACAGCAGAGACAGATGGAGTCAAGTGTGTCTTTTCATTTCTCTCAGTGAATGTGTTCTGTGTGCAAACAAGTCTGTAGTATGTGTTGTGCTTGTTGTCTATTTGACAGGTGTCAATAGACAACAATAGTCTTTTAACACTGAGTATGTTACATGGACACAAATACTCTGATTGTAATATGATTAAGACAATACTCTGATTAAGAGTCAACGATGTAAACAGAGATTTTTGATTACCTTAATCCCACTACAGTCATCATTGAACTAAACTGAAATCAAATAAAGACGTAGAGTATTTATATTTTAGTCACATTATTAAAATGCAGTACAGAAACATTTCACTTCATTTTGCTACAGGACGCACACATGGCAGTTGTCAGGCATTTGAAGACAAACAAATGTGAATGGCTTTAAGCAAGAGAGCACATTTTTGGTGCAAGTGAGAAACAAGGATTATGCTGAAAATTGTGGAAGAAATAGACATTATAAAGTGCCTTGACTTTGTCACGGGGGTGATAGGATGACCGAGGTGCAGATGTACAAAACCAGTAATGAGGGATGAGTTCAGTTCAAGGTGTTTATTTAAGTGCAAAGCAAAAAATAAAAATTGTGGATCCCCAGCAAAACACAAAACTTATTTATTTTCTACAAAATTATATACGTAATGTACAGAGACAATGTGTGTTCTGGCTATGCCAACAGTCAGGCCCAAACACAACAACTATCTGCACAAGGAAAAACTGCAGGAGACGCAGGAGCCGTTATCTAGAGTTTGGCTTCACCCATTTTTTAGAACACACCATATGAAAAATTATAAAGCAAGGCAAAAATATTTTAATACACAACACATATGGTAGTAACTCGCAACATGTGAAGTTTAGTTATGAACTAATTTCAAGTGAGGATTATGAAAAAATTTTCATTTACCACAGGCGATCTTGTCAATATGTTTTCCCCATGTCCATGTGAGTTTCCCTCAGGTTCTCAGTTTTCCTCCCACTATCCAAAGACATGCATCATACGTAATAGACTAAGCAAAACAGGCACTTTGTATAGCTCCCTTCCTTCTCAAACTACTTTACCTTAGCCACTTCAGCTTGGGAGTTTTTGAGATTTACCTGAGCTCAAGCCTCCCTCTCGCTCTGTGAACTGGAGGGGGCCGGGGGCTCGAGGATCCCTCAAGCTCAGGGGTCTCTCCCAGGACAGTGTGCCAAACAAGCTTATGATAACTCATCAGCTAAGTGTGAACTCTTAAAATATATATCACAAATATCTACAAAAGTGTCTGACAAATATGTTAAACCAAAATAATGGTTTCCTTGATTTATCCCCCATGATGTCATTGAAAATTGTAGAACCCTGATCATTGGTAATATGGAAGCTTTAAAATGGCTGCTTATCCACATACAGGTTTGGCAGTTTGGTTCTGGTGTGATTTATTTTAAATGTTAAATAAAATAATGAAATGTTAAGCTAACTCAAACTACGTAAGGAACGAATAATAGACAAAAACAACAATTATTCTGCAGAAATAAATGGAGCATTTCTAATCACTCTAAACAATTTATCCATACAAACAGAACATTTGATGTTTTCCAGCTAGCGTCTAGAATGTGTGAATAGCGGAAACTGTTTGTGTGAGTTAATGCATGCTTACAAACTTGCCTAAATAAAAGCCATAGTTACAGCATATCTGTGACGGGGCATGAATGAAAAGTTAGTGAATGAAATGACAGAGGTTGCTTGAGAATATTATATTCATTATATTATTATGTATATTTGAGGCAAATAATAAGATCACTGATGTTCATGAAAATGTGGTTAATGATACTTTAATTAAACTGAACTGAATTAAACTGAGCTGATCTTCAACAGAGACCATTACAGACTTTCCTCTTTTCTTTGTTGCAGCACCTGTGATGTGCTTGTGGCCTTTGGCTCCCTCTCTTTCTTTTGGACTCAGTCTACACTATAGGTGACCTGATAAAGGTGACCTCAAGATTATTGTTCTTTATTAATATTTATCAAAATTATAATTATTGTTATTGGTTATTATTCTGCTGATAAAACAGCTGTCAAATAGACAGCCCCCCCCCCCCCCCCCCCAAAAAAAAAGTGTTGCTTAAACTTGTCCCTGTACTGAATGTTGTCAGACCAGAAACACAGAAACAGGTTTTTACAGTTTTATGTGAAGGACTCCACCTGACAAACACAAACCTCTGAACACGGAGAAACTGCAACACACAGGTACAGTGTCACATTATCTTACAAAGACTATATTTGTTTATTAAATGAAATATACATGATAAATGAACACTTGATGATAAATGTGATTAACTGTATGAACTGCAGCAACATCTGTGAGTTTCTCTTTCATTTTGGATATAATCACATCAAAAACAATTCACATTTGCTCTTAGAGATTTTCTAAATTTTTCATGTATAGATTAAAGTCAAAGCTCGTGTTGTTCAGCACAGATTTGCTAAACTATAATTCTCAATGTATTCTTTACTGTCTGAAAAAGCAGAGCTCAGCAATTTAGTTGTGTGTCATTCAGCAGAGCTTATTTTCATCATGAGTGTGAGAAAGACAGAGATATGTCAATAACTAAATATCCACATGCACAGTTGAATCAAAAAGAACAAAAGCTTTAAAAGCTTTTTTTATTTCGAGCAGCTTTTCCAAGAAAGAGAACTAAAGCTGAATCAGTGTGTTTGTTCAATGACTCAGTGAAGCTAAATCAGTGTGTTTGTTCAATGACTCAGTGAAGCTGAATCAGTGTGTTTTTTCATTGACTCAGTGAAGCTGAATCAGTGTGTTTGTTCAATGACTCAGTGAAGCTAAATCAGTGTGTTTTTTCAATGACTCAGTGAAGCTGAATCAGTGTGTTTGTTCAATGACTCAGTGAAGCTGAATCAGTGTGTTTTTTCAATGACTCAGTGAAGCTGAATCAGTGTGTTTGTTCAATGACTCAGTGAAGCTAAATCAGTGTGTTTTTTCAATGACTCAGTGAAGCTGAATCAGTGTGTTTGTTCAATGACTCAGTGAAGCTGAATCAGTGTGTTTTTTCAATGACTCAGTGAAGCTGAATCAGTGTGTTTTTTCAATGACTCAGTGAAGCTGAATCAGTGTGTTTGTTCAATGACTCAGTGAAGCTAAATCAGTGTGTTTTGTCAATGACTCAGTGAAGCTGAATCAGTGTGTTTTTTCAATGACTCAGTGAATCTGAATCAGTGTATTTGTTGAATGACTTAGTAAAGCTGAATCAGTGTGCTTGTTGAATGACTCAGTAAAGCTGAATCAGTGTGTTTGTTCAATGACTCAGTGAAGCTGAATCAGTGTGTTTGTTCAATGACTCAGTGAAGCTAAATCAGTGTGTTTGTTCATTGACTCAATGAATATGAATCAGTGAGTTTGTCATTGACTCAGTGAAGCTGAATCAGTGTGTTTGTTCAATGACTCAGTGAAGCTGAATTAGTGTGTTTGTTCAATGACTCAGTGAATCTGAATCAGTGTGTTTGTTGAATGACTTAGTGAAGCTGAATCAGTGTGTTTGTTCAATGACTCAGTGAATCTGAATCAGTGTGTTTGTTGAATGACTTAGTAAAGCTGAATCAGTGTGTTTGTTAAATGACTCAGTGAAGCTGAATCAGTGTGTTTGTTCAGTGACTCAGTGAAGCTGAATCAGTGTGTTTGTTCAATGACTCAGTGAATCTGAATCAGTGTGTTTGTTCAATGACTCAGTGAAGCTGAATCAGTGTGTTTGTTCAGTGACTCAGTAGAGCCGAATCAGTGTGTTTGTTCAATGACTTAGTGAAGCTGAATCAGTGTTTGTTCAATGACTTAGTGAAGCTGAATCAGTGTGTTTGTTCAGTGACTCAGTAGAGCAGAATCACTGTGTTTGTTCAATGACTTAGTGAAGCTGAATCAGTGTGTTTGTTCAATGACTCAGTGAAACTAAATCAGTGTGTTTTTTCAATGACTCAGTGAAGCTAAATCAGTTTGTTTTTTCAATGACTCAGTGAAGCTGAATCAGTGTGTTTGTTCAATGACTCAGTGAAGCTGAATCAGTGTGTTTGTTCAATGACTCAGTGAAGCTAAATCAGTGTGTTTTTTCAATGACTCAGTGAAGCTGAATCAGTGTGTTTTTTCAATGACTCAGTGAAGCTGAATCAGTGTGTTTGTTCATTGACTCAATGAATATGAATCAGTGAGTTTGTCATTGACTCAGTGAAGCTGAATCAGTGTGTTTGTTCAATGACTCAGTGAAGCTGAATCAGTGTGTTTGTTCAATGACTCAGTGAAGCTGAATCAGTGTGTTTGTTCAATGACTCAGTGAAGCTAAATCAGTGTGTTTGTTCATTGACTCAATGAATATGAATCAGTGAGTTTGTCATTGACTCAGTGAAGCTGAATCAGTGTGTTTGTTCAATGACTCAGTGAAGCTGAATTAGTGTGTTTGTTCAATGACTCAGTGAATCTGAATCAGTGTGTTTGTTGAATGACTTAGTGAAGCTGAATCAGTGTGTTTGTTCAATGACTCAGTGAATCTGAATCAGTGTGTTTGTTGAATGACTTAGTAAAGCTGAATCAGTGTGTTTGTTAAATGACTCAGTGAAGCTGAATCAGTGTGTTTGTTCAGTGACTCAGTGAAGCTGAATCAGTGTGTTTGTTCAATGACTCAGTGAAGCTGAATCAGTGTGTTTGTTCAATGACTCAGTGAAGCTGAATCAGTGTGTTTGTTCAATGACTCAGTGAAGCTGAATCAGTGTGTTTGTTCAATGACTCAGTGAAGCTGAATCAGTGTGTTTGTTCAATGACTCAGTGAAGCTGAATCAGTGTGTTTGTTC